CTGAGTAGTCTGGACTGTTGTTTCCAAGTGTAGCTTAAGGGAGGAGGAAAAGCCCTTGGGATTTCTGCTGTGACAAATTTTACCTAATCATGCTTTCTGGAAATGCTGTAACAACAGGACAGTTGACAACAGAACAGGTAGGTGACAAAGATTATCAGAGCTTATCTGCCCTTCTTGAATGTGCCACATGTTTGGAAAAACTAAATCAGCTGTTTTGTTGATAGACTCCTATTTTCTTTACCCAGGAAGGGCTAAGTGTGTAAGGGTTAATCTCCATCAATTTGGGAAGTAGGGGAACTGGGACAATTTTCTTTAAATGTTTACTGCAGGAAGAGGTAATGGTCTTTACCTCTCAAAGGTAAGTGTTAAAGTTGTAGAGTTCAATAATGGAACTCAAGATTCCTAATTCTTGGGACGAGAAGAATATTAAGGAGTTGTGTTTCTCAAAACGTATCTTATAGCCTGCAAACTCTTGTATTTTGGAGTATCTTGTGCTTCAGAGAGGTCTAGACTCGGAAGAGCACTTTGCAGATCTTCTCTGAGGAAAAGTTGTAGAAGGAGGATAGATAGGCAAGTCAGGTTTCCTGCACAGAGTAATTATTTGTTTTAAATAAATGATAGAAAGGTTGAAAAGACTGTCAGCAACATGTTAATCTCCTTCAGTTCTGCTGCCAGTAACTGTTCCCTGCAGACCAGAGAAGAGTTACTGATTTGACTTTTAGATGCATGACCATCTGCTTCCTAAATGTCTTGTATTAATTGTCTTAAGGCATAGAGATTTGGCAAACACATGTAGCTTAACCTGTCCGTTCTTTCACGTGAGCCGCATAGTTAGTGCTTTACTATCTGAAGTGCACAGTTGTTTCTCCATTTTACAAGTCATTATGTATGAGCAACGTGCAGCCTGTCACACCAGGAAAGCCTATTGTTTGTACAGGCTCGTGTATATATAATCTTCCTGTCACCTTATTGCCTGTAGCAAAAAGAGACAGAATTAATATATGTAGGACTCTCCTGACAAATAATGAAAGAAACTGTAGCCCCTTTCTCCATCAAACTGAAAGCTTAGAGGATGGCTATGTCTTTTCACACCCAGACAGTTCTGTTATCTTCAGCAAACCTGATGCTGAAGATGGAAGAAATACAGCTGTTATCACTGGTGCTGTTAGCTTAGCATTGTGAAGTCTTGGTGACTGGCTTCATATCCTGGACGCTACTGCAACAGCGATCAATAGGAGGAGCAGTCCCCTCTGACTATTTCTTGTGGCTGTGGTGCTGCAACATACGGCATCAGACTGAAAGGAAGATGCTAAATTGTATTTCTCCTAGCATTTTTTCTCTTTTTTTTTTTTTTTTTTTTTGCTAAATAATTTACTTCTGTAAAAGTTGTGCAAATCATATAAGCTTTTGTTACGGGTTCAGTGCAACCTCTGTGTCAGATTTGTATGTTTACTTTTAAAGTGGAAGCAAGCAGTAAGGGTTTGAATCCTAGGAATGTCACCACTACAATTATATTTGGTGAATTTCATGACAGATAGGTCAAGGCTCCATCAGTAATCGTAATCAGTTTGAATTACCTTATCTCTTCTTCCTGGAGTAGATCAACACTGAAACCTGCAGAGCACCAATGTAAACAGACAAGTCTGAAAGCAGGAAAAATATCCTTCATTGTTTTTAGTAGTACACAGGACTTTTTTTTTGCAGATAAGTAAGATATAAGAAGAAAGATCAAAGAGCTGAGTTTCATAAATGTTCTGTTAATGATAAGGCATAACAGTAGAAATGTGTCCATGCATATGAATGTAATAGCCAGTAAAATCTACTGTAGCTGAAACCTGATGAACTCTCTTTTTAAATCTGTTTGATCGTTAGCAACTGTCTGAGAAATATTTTCTTTTTTTTTTAAATAGATATTGTTTTAGAACACAGCTTTTCAAAATGTGTGAAAAGGTAACTATAATTATTCTGACTTCATAAATGAATACATGTATGTGCTATCTAATGAAGTGGACAAAATTTATTGAAGAAATCTAGATTACCTACTAGTTTGCTATACTAGCAACAAAACAAAATTCTTGTCTTTCCCGTTACTTTATGTGTTCGAGCTCCAACCTAATTGATTTGATCATGAGATCTGACTTAAAAATGATGGTCTCTAACAGCTTTGTCACATTAATGACTTTAATAATTGGTATGAAAGTTATTATGAGTATCCAATACAATTTTGACCTAAGAAAATGATTTTATATATATATATATATAAAGACGAGGACTTAAATTTCATTTTGCAAATGTATATTTGTATTAAGATCTTTTCTCAAATGTAAATTGGGTGGGCATTTTTGTTCCTCTATCAATTCAATTTGCACACACTGAACTTTCTATTTTTGTTATATCATTTGAAAAATGCTTAGTATTTTGCAAAAATATCTCAACATTGGTCAAACAATCTTGAAATATTTCTCTGCTTCTTCTTTTATGGAGCTTTGTATCATGCTAGATAATTTTCCTTGTTCCTCTGGTTTTACTTCTTCATGTCCCTTTCTCCATGAGTTAGGTTCATCTTCAAAGCAAAATATTTCAGAAGGACTGAACAAACACTATACTACAATATCCAACCCCCTGTAATTCAGTCAGATTAGGACCATGGCAGCACAGGAGGGAAGGCAGGCAGACTTCGAGCAAACCTTTTTCTTGCATTTTCTTTTGAAGTAACTTCTGTAGACAGCAGTTATGAACCTGAGATAGCAAACTGTGCTTGAAAAGCGAAGATAGTCGTGAAGCCACGGGCCAAAGAGAGATGCCAGAATTTAACAGTATCCAAAGTCACTTTCCTAGAAATCCATGCTGTGTTCACAGAGTTTTGATGTGATATCTACCCAAGAGAGCTCTTCAGCTTTGCGAGAGCATGTACTTCTAGAAAGACATCGCCAAGTTAAAATRAAAGCTTTAAACCAAGTTAAGAAAGGGAGATAAACACAACTGCAAATTTAAATAGGAAGGTTGAGGACAGGCAGACATTCCAAAATTTCCCACATTTAGAAAGTAATTAAAAGTTGGAAGGTATGTACCTTAGCTATGACATATTACTTCCCCTCCTTTCCACACCTTTTGATAGAAGTCTCAAGAAGAATGTCTTAAAGTGTTTTAATTTGGAGATAATAAGAGAATAGGTACTCAAAGAATTCACAATTTGCACCAGAAATATCTTCCTCTCTCTAATGAATTTCAGCTGTATCTGGGATGTTTCTGTCTTCTTTGTTTTATTTTCGTATTTATGTCTCTGCCGGTGGATATGTACAGGAGTTTTTTAATTACCTTGTCCTTTATTTCTCACAAGGATGGGCTGGCATGCACTGAATAACGGCACTTTTGTGCTGGTCTCAGCAACTGAGGTTTAGAAAGAGAGCAAGAACAGAAAAGGACAAGTAGTTTTGATACGACTTTTATTGCTGATTTACAAGTTCCATTCCCCTATAGCTTTCCATTTCTTTGATTAATTCATAGATAATTTAGATAGATAAATGGAGAAGGATTCAATGGAGACAGAGGACATGGAGCAGGAACAACAAATTATTTTCAAATAGGCCTCCCTTAGGCTCTAGAAGGTGTGGATGCTTGCAGAATCAAACTAGTATGCATTTTTAGAGGTCAGCTTCTGCTTGGAGTGCACTGACACCTGGCACTACCTGAAAGAAGCAATGTACAGTCATACTGAAAAAGCTAAGTCCAAAACTGGGCAGAGTACTGGCAGGAGACTCTGGGCAGATGTACACTGTTTGCTACAGGGATGGTTCCATGTGGCGTTCAATGTGGGAAAACTCATTTCACATCTCCATAAAACTATTTTCACATTAGGGCCAGAAAAAACATTTGCAAAGGCTAAATGACTCGTACAAACATTGTGCCCGTGGATTCAGAGTACTTCGCCATAAAACAAGTCAAAAGGACCGTCTGTAAATTAAAAGTGTAAGTAAAGCCTAAACGTGTCAGAAATACTTGTTTTGAAAAGTACATATTTATAGTTAAAAACCAAGAAAATGTTATCTAGCAAAGTCTAAGAATAGCACAACATAACACRGAATCAGTTTCTGTTCAGGATGCTCTTAACATTTGTTTTCCAGCCCCATGTTTTAGGTTTCACTGGAGCCATTAGGAATGAGACTAAACTCAAGCATGCCTGTGTGTGAACACTATTCAGTTGGGATGTTCTGATCCAGAACATCTTACAATTGTTATCTGTCTTACAATTTTTTCTTCATAAGGAGTGTATCTGTTTCGTTTAAAAAGGCACAATTTTTAAAATGTGGCGTAAAATCACCAGTTTCCTTATCATTTAAGAACTGGAAGCCTATTCCAATAGCTGTTAACTCCTCCTATTCAGGCTGAATATAGAGGGCCCTTCAGAATATGAATGAACCTTCTAAAAAACACTTGTATGAATTGAGTCTAATATGCAGGAAGCATTATTAAAAGTCAGATAAATATAGTATCATAGTAAAATAAAAAGTGCCTCATTTTTACAAAATGTGCTAACATGAATTTTCACCTCAAAAAAAAAAATAGAATGAATGCTCTGTATTATCTTTATAGGAAAAAAATCTGGAAACTAAACTTTATATAATTTTTAAGAGTTTTAGCCTTTTTTATATATGGTGGTGGTGGTGGGAGGAACGCTAATCAAAACTGTTCAGGAGAGTTACTTATGCTGATATGAGTGGATGTATAAAAATACCATCACAAGCAAAAAGAAAGAAAGAAACCGAAGGAAAAAGGCKTCAAAGTTCACCTTTGATTTTACTTTAAGGTCATTTTCATTCCCTTTCTTGCTTAGAGCTTTGATTTTTGGATCCAGTGTATTAACATTTTTAATATCTTTCACATGAATTAGAATTATGTACTTTTTGCTTTTATCTTTTCTTTTTCTCACAGGGTGCTTTCTTAAGTTGGTTACAAATCATACTCCAGTGGTAAAAAAAAACCAACAACAACAAAAAAAAAAAAACTGTGTCATAAGAAATCTGAGGTAAGCAGCATATTTTTTTACTCAGAAGGATGACCTGTCTAGTTGAAAAGATAATTAAAATTGTACAGAGGACGGAAAAGACCTTGACCTTAAAATTCTTGTGCAGTCTGCTATCTATGATATAACTTTTATACAAAACTTTTTTTAAAGTTGCAATGAATTTAAAATTAGAACCCTGTCAAGGATACAGTATTCCTATCTTAAAGTTCATGAAATATCAATTATTTTTTTCAATATTCCCATTAGATATGTCAGCTTAGGCTTATTTTTACTTAAATGGAGAGAAGTTTTAAGTCTTAGAAGTCCTTAATACCTCTACTTATATAGTATACTGAAGTATATAATCCTCTGTGTCACTAATTTGCTACTGCTGACGAGCTCATCATTTGCAACCTCTTAGCATTTTACAGAGAGCATGAATTGTCTCAAACCTGGTTCAAAATGTATAGGAATTAAAAAACTTAAAAGTATGAACGGCCTGAACATCTCAGTTTTTCTGCAGAAATGCTTCCAAATATAAGGGTATAAGGTTCTTTGAAAAAAAACCCAAAATACCAGGCAGTTATCAGAGGATCATGTGTGCCCAAACCAGGCTACTGGTCAGCCTTGCTGCTGTTGGGATAGGAGCTCCTCTACTCAACCTGCCTGGCTCGCGAGGAGTTACTTGCCTACTACAGTCCACCAGATTTGGCTGCCATTACCAGCAGTAGATCATCTATCAGCTGTTTAAACTTTCTATACATCTAAGTAACAAAAAAAAAAAATATTTATTAGGATTCCAGAGATATCCCCAGTATTTGTACATGACATTGTACCATGATTACTAAAATACACAAATCTAGGAACTAAGTATTCCATGTTTGAATAGTAGATTTAACACGTCAAAATTGTAGGATCTGTGAGCTCTCCTGAGAGTTCTTTTGGTTTTGCCTTATTTGTTTGTTTGGTTTTTAGTTATAATAACATTAGAGAGGTTGGAGAGAGGAAGACTTGTTAGAAGATGTAAAACATGGATGTACAAAAGCAGGTGTCTGTAGTATCTGAGCTCTGTGCAAATCTGGATCATCAAGAGGATAGTCCAACTCCCTTCACTGCAGGTAGTTTTGTCCAGCTTTGATATTCAGGCTCTCCAGCTGAGAAACCTGGACAGAAGTCCTGCCTTTGGATTGGAAATTCTGTTTCAAATTTCATTTGCATTTTCTGTAATTCATGTTTCATATGTTAAGGTGCCATGTCTTGTAACACAAATCTGAGGTACAATTTTGTTGCCATGAAAAGTTGTAGACAAAAGCATTTTCTATCACAAGTGCAATAAAGATAAAAACTGCAGGGCAGGTTATCAAGGTATTAAAAGGATTGAATGAGGATAGAGATAGCTTTGGGGTTTTTCTTTATGTAGGAATAAAAACCTTGTGAAGTAAAGGGACTAGTAAGTTGTATTACCTGAAGGAGATCACATTCTTTTTCGAAGAGTCTGTTGAAGTTGTGATAGAATCTTTTGTATGTCAAAACAATAAAGCCAGAGAAAAATCCTTTTTTTATTATTATGAATGTAAAGGGGAATATAAAACTTGAAAAWGTTTTATATCATATTTTGAAGACAAATACGTTACTATCAAAAATTAAATATATGAAAAAGAGTTTTTATTATTCTGATATTTTTAATTGGCCATTTTTAACTGTTGAATAACCTTCTTGGATTCGGCTAATAGGTCACCAGTGAAGCAGGCTTATTTGTATTTTATTTTATTTTTTTTTGTAAATGTTTCTCTTTCAAGTGATCTGTAAACTGTGAACAGTGAACATGTTCCTTTTAGTCATTTTAAGTTACAAAAAAACTTTATTGATTTTGGGATAGTCAGTCGTTTCTCTAGGAGCCTTCTTTTTGAGAAGCTAAGTATAGATCACATGCTAAGGAGTAGTTTTGACTTTATATCAAGTAAAATTATAGCAATAAAAATCGGCATGAATTAGTCATTTTCTTATAAATATATTAAATAAATATAGTTGCTAACACAGAGTCCCATAAGCCTACTCTTCAGGTTTGGGATTTTTTCCAAGTGGGCATAGTGTGTGGTGACTACCCTCATAGAAATTTGATGGCATAGTGTAGGCATTTACCATATATTATAACATTATTCCATAATTAATATTAAAGTAAATGATTATTCTGTGCAGAGCCAGCAAGTGTAATTTAATCATGGTACCTAGCTAGTTACTGTAATGTTTATATAAAATTATAACTTAATTTAATTGCTGTAGCTGAACAGTTCCTAGGAGCTCTGTTAATCTTAAGGTGTTTTCCTGGAGAGAAATTTGGATACAAATACTATTGCACTGCACTTTGTGAAACAAGTAGAAATTATTTCAATTACATTTAGCTATTACTGTCTAAAAGTACAGAAAATCAGCAATCTCCAGCTTTAACACAGCTAAACATCATTCTTGCTTATGAAAATGTATAGACCTGAATATAGACCTAAACAATGCTATTTCATGATCATATACATTATCTCATTTGTTATATTGTTATGTTCGTTGTTCTTTGTTTCTTGCTCTGAGCAAGAGCATATCATTTGGAGCCTGGGAAATGGCTCCAAACCATGGCATGCAATGGTTTAAGACTGGTTTCCACTGTCTTACTATGTAAAAAAAAACATAACTCGTTTCACCTGTGATAGCATTGTTCTTATTGAATACAGAGATATTTSTATATGCTGTCTTAATCCAAAAGATGATGCAGTAGGGGCTGCAACATAATCTTGATGACATTCTCTTTGTTGCAAAAAGTATTTATGATGTTAAATGAAAATCATACATACTTCATATGAAGAATGTATGATTTTAAATAAGTTTAGATCTTTCTCAGGGAAATATTCTTACTCTTGTATTTGAAAATCCTCTTCCTCAAAGTACTTCCTCAGCTGTTCACTTTGAATATATTCAATAAACTATTAAAATGCAAATTATTCACAAAATATAAATTCCATTCTGGGGGAGTCGATTGAATGTAATGTAAAGGAAGGCCATCTGTAATTAGGATGGTTACACTGAAATTTCATAAATGAACAACCCCTGTTACCAAAGAAATTATGTTAAAGAAAAGCATAAATCAGTATAGGATTACTTCTAGTCTCTCTGTACGGCCTTCTGTACCATTGCCTAGGACATCATGTCATGTAACACAGTCACAAACTTTTGTGCAGTGCCATGTCACAGGCAGGACTCTTGTCACCCCAGAAATTGTTAARAAGAGGCCATTTCTGCAAGGATAGACAACACTACCAAGTATTTAGAATGTAGGCTAAAAGAAGAAAAAGAAAACACACAACAAAGATAAGATTTTAGAGAATAAAAATGATCTGAAATATCATTTTTCCATCAATGAAGAAAACTGAATAGAATTGAGTTAAATGACTGCAAGAGAGTGGAAATGAGCAGCTGTATGAAAAGATATGGTGACTGATTGTGGACCAACCACAGCAAAGATGCTACTGAAATGGTGGCTGTAAATGTAATTAAAAATCAGTAATGATGAGAGGAATAAGAGGCAAGAAGCTRTATTGACTTGACTAAAATGCTTTTTTAGGGCAGCAGTTCTCAAACACCAGTGCAGAGACAATTAACTGCCYTCAGACAAGCTGGTGCACAAGAGAGCCTGTGCAAGCCGTAGAGGATGATCTCTGCTCTTCCCAGTTACTACATCTTCTAAAAGGCACCTCAAAATACTTTTCTATTATCACTTTACCATGCAAACAACTCTTGTCGTTCCCAGTGAGAGAGCTGAGTTGGGAACATGCATGCATGGAAAGTGCTGTTAAGGTACAGGACRCATAATGTGAGCAGTAGGTCTGCACTAGTGCAACCCCTCCAAAATAAGAATCAGAAATGTCTTCTTTGCACATATTCTGCTTCACTGTTAAATACTCCTGTTTCTGCTACTGTTAGTTAGTTGGCCTGCTGTTATACAAATTGCAGATACGTAGGAAGTTAAGTTCAGCTTCACACATGTGGTTTTTTTTTTTTCCCCCTTTGGAGTTTGTAAGAAAAATCAACTTTCACTTACTTCTATTATAGAGTTTCACTGAACAAGCTGCATTACAATATGTCAAAAGAGGTTTTACTTATAAAAGGAAGGGATTTACTTATAAAAGGAATTGTAATTTATTCGTTGTGCTTGAACCTTAATGTTCAGATATGCAGAAGAGACCATATTATATTGTAGGAATTCTCTTTCTTTTCAGTGCCTGTATTGCCTTCTGATAATTACAGATGACTTTTATACAAGGAGCTTTGCTTCTAGTCCATCTGAAATACAGGAAGGGGTTAGGCTTCCCTTAAAAGTTCTTAAAGGGTGTGATTAGCTAAGAAAGATGTGATGACTAGGCCTTCTTATAGTATGTGAATTTTATATATTTCTTCCAGCTACTTACTCCAGGCTAGTCATCTCTGTTACTATTAAAGTTTTACTTTTTTCTTTTTCTTTTTTTTTTTTTTTTTTTAAGTAAGCATAGCTTACTAAAGCATAGTATAACTGCTAGAAACAGAAAAGCTATGGTCAGCATGTCCATTTGCTTGCAATTGCAGGTTTTTCCTGCAATATATCATCTAGTGCTTTGATTTGTGCCTATTATTTAAATGATGCAAATGATTTAATTTCTTCTGGTTTCCTTAAGACATTATTTCACAGACATTATTAAATGGTTTATAGTACTATAACATGGATTTTCAAATATTCAATGGAATTGAATAATTCAATTTCATTGAATAATGAAAGTTTGGCATTACATGGCAATTGCCACGAGATTTTTCTCTCAGGCAATGAAAACTTCAAATTAGTCCCACTGTTTTTTTTTTTTTTTTTTTTCTTTCCCCATGTTTTTGGGGTTGAGTTTTGTGCCTTAGTGGAATTTAAGAAAGAGCTAAAAAGAAAATTTTCATTTGAGAAGACCATTTGTGATAACGAATGTCTGTGAACAAAGATAATAGATTCTTTCCTAATGATTCTCTTCCTCTTCATAAAACTCATAAAACCGTAGATACTTAAAAGAAGGAAAAGTTGAGCTCCTCTCAGATTTTCCAGTGGCAAAAAGGTGACACTTAATGCCATAAAGTAATGAGGGTAAAAGGTTAATCACAGTAGAGAAATCCAAGTAGCACAATAAAGACGATGAAGGCTTGCTACAAGCATTTCTGGGAAAAAAAAATGAACTTCTTAAGCCTTTCATAATTTGCATCTTTTTTTGTAGTGCTCAATAGACAAGACAGCAATTTTCTGTCTTTTATAAAGCAGCTAAAAATACTTCATGGTGGACTGCAAAACAATTAATCATCCTCTGGGGTCTGGAGTTCTCCAAGATGTTATATTTATGAACAACACCTTAAATAGAGTTTTCTGCCTTTATTTTTTCCTTCTGTGGGCAACTTAAAAATCTTTTCTCATAACCTTTTATGTTTTCATTCTGAAACTATTATTCAGGACTATTTTTTTCTCAATTAATTGCATTTCTAGTCATTGTCTAGCCCAGGATCATTTTTAAGTCCTAATTCTTTTCAGATCAATTTCTGTCATTACAAATAGATATAAATAGAACCTTTTTTTTTTTTTTTTCCCAAGTAAGACAATGACAGACACAATTTGATCTGTTATATTTCTACTCTTAATATAATCATGTATTGATATCACTCTGTGTTCAATCAGACTTTTAGATATGCTTTGCTTGCATAGCTTTATTTTTTAATATTCAACCTCTGTAGGTCTCCTGGAAATCCTGGATTTCCAGGTCTTTCTCTTTTCCAGGTCTCCTGGATGGGTGACTGTGGTAATGACTTTGCCTTCGGCTGTGGTGAGTATGGTAAAGTAACATGAATCACAAGACAGTCCACTACAGTCAGAGTCACAAGATTACACAAAAATTGACCATATAATTCCTATATGGCATCCCATATCTGTTCTACCTATAGGTTAGCATGAAAATGAAGAGAAACTGGCCTTAGAATAAATAAGTTCTTTTTTTAAAACTATGAGCCTTTTAATATGATGGGGAAGAACCTGATTTTTGTGTCTTAGCATCCCCTGGGGTGTCCAACTTTTATCCATTCTGTTTTCACTAGCATTATTCATCTCCTGACACACCTATAAAAGACAAGAGCAGTAACTTCCCTTTCACCAGTGCAAAACCTCTGTTCTTATCTACTCTTCACTCTGCAGTGGGTTATTGTACCTAAAGACTGTAAAAAAGTACCAGTTTTCTTTTTCTTTCCTTAAAAGCAATCACATGCTTTATCACTGAGAAAAGTGACCTATGTGACCATAAAGCATGAATTCAGAAATCCATTGCATTCTCTGAGCCCAAAACTGCAGTGGGACTCAAAGTGAATCTGGAGATTGCAGAGGATCAGTGAACTAAGCAGGAGGCATTAGTATGATAAGCAATCATTTCAATTTTCTCTTTCCATTTTTCATGCTGTGGGACTTATATTAAAAAAAGCACTCAGATCTGAGTTTCAATCATTTCACCACAGAATCAGATGAGATTAACAAGATTTCAATACAATAATAACAGAGGTGCATGTACTCATTAGAAAATTAAAAAAAAAAAAAACTCAATAGAGTTTAAAGGAAAACTATATTGACAAAATTCTCATATAAAGTTCTCAAATATCTTATGTTTTGACTGTGTCTATGAGAAGCTTTGCAGCGGTTATCTATTCTTTCTAGGGTTTAAAGAACAAGAATTGAATGGAAAGCAAGAATGAGTTTTGGAAAGAAACATGTCTTGAATGTTTCCTTGGAATTACATTTAAGACCTGATTGTTATGGAAGATATCATATGATAATCACACTATGGGCAAATTGGAACTTAGAGATTAGAAGTGCAAACATATATATCTAAACCTTCAGGGATGTGAAAATGTTGTGATATTCACACGTCCTTATAAAGACATTATTTTTTAAAAATGTTTTTATTGCTCTGGAGAAAAATTATTTTCTGTGCTACAAGGTATTGATGTCATTTTAGATGGTTAGTTCTTTGGTTCATGAACTCTTACACTTACATAAACTTACTGATCAATCAAATATTCTAAGTGAAGGAGTTTTATTGTATGTCTTAAAGGTGGTTTGCCTAAACAGTTGTATTCATACTGAGGGATTCTTCAAGTGTAAATAAGTTTTAAATTCATCRTTTACTTTGGATATTGCCTGAATGCTTGTATGTGTTCTAATGTATGACAATCTCACAAAACTTCATTTTCTCCTCTGTTGTAGGCACTATTTTTGGCTGGAGTTAGCTATGTCTTTGTTATTGTCTAGCAAACAATAATTARCACAGGTGTAAGTGACAGCATTTTCCACATGTCAATTAAAAAAGAAATCACTCATAGAAACTTAAAAACAATTGGAGTATGGAATTCCAGGGCTTTTGTGTGGATTTTATGTCATGGACTGGCATGAAAATCATCCTTACATCTGAATTTCTATTTTTGGGCATTAACTTGCTGGTATCTTGAATGAGCACTTACTGTCTAAAAGATATTAAGAAAATTTCTATTTGAGCTGTTTCAGAGATAATGTAATCATATGTATCACATGTCATTGAGGCATATTTTTATACCTTAAAGTGATCGGCAGGCCCTATACTGGAGCCATTATATTCCTTCTAACCTGTGTTATCATAACCTTGTGGTTCTAGACTTGGTCTCTTCACCTATTTTGTTTGCATTTTAAGGTTCTCTGGTATCATTTCCTCCCTAGTGGAGGAAAGATTTGTTGTAGTAAGAATTTAACACTCAGGCTGAATATGACTGAATATTAATTTTTCTTGGCTTCTTTCTGAGAAATTAATGCTTCCAAGTCCTCAAAAGAAGCCATAGGTGTCATAGACACAGCTTTCCTGTTCCACAGTTTTCTGTGCAAGTCAAACTCTATTCATTTGTTTTGATGGCATTACTCCACTTTGTATACCAGAGCAGATGGTCTACCAAGGAGCAGAAGTAATATGACACAACTGGAAATTTGCCTAGAGCAAGTTCCTACTGCTTTTCTATGGCTTTCCTTTCAGCCATTCACCATGTAATCTTTTTTTTAACTGGTTATAGAAAGAAATGTTGAGCAATATCTCGTTCAAGAGCTAATTACTGATCAACACTTCTGAATAGCGAGCATTTTAGATATAACCTTCAGTTATACAATCTGTGGTCATGGAGATCCAGGAAGGGAATGCATGCTCAGTACTTTTCTGACCACTCCTGTCTGAGTGGGATGACTTATCTGTTATTTTATGATATGTATTAATTACATGTTAACTACATTTACTTAGGTCTATTTTGATACATTGGATCATTTGGAAAAAGAACCCTTTTAGAATTAAAGCAACTATCAGGAATAAACCACAAGCACTAGAATTCCTCTGTGGGACAGACTTAATATGAATTAAAAATCTCTTTGTGAAGTGATTRTTTTTCCAGTTTGTTCAACTTGCTGTTAATTAAGGTTTATTTCTATGCTTTTCACTGCTTCTATTAAATCTATATGTTCACTGTCTTTTAATAAAAAAGTAGATTTTTGTTAGAAACTCCATTGCTCAAAGTTACATAAGAAAAGTCCACAAGACCTATTTTTAAATTAACCAGTTAAAATTATGTCCATACAGCAATAATTTATCTACAATTATTTTTACTACATATGTCAAAGATTTAACCTTGTACCTATTAATTCTGTGCATAGTATCTGGTTCTTGTTCTCTTAGGAAAATTTCGGCAGAAGTTCCAGCTCTACTTCTGTCATCCCTACTTTATTTTGATGTTTACAACCAGACACAGCCTGAAGAAATCAAACGGCAGGTAAGAGCAGTAGCACTGCCACAAACAGACAATGCAACTATAGATGCTATTCTCTCTCTAGAGATTCCTTTTTCTCCTCTGACTATTGATGAAAATGAGCATTTGCACACTTCTTTTCTCAGCAGTGACTTGCGGATGCTGGAAATAAAGACCACAACACAAAGGCTTCTGTCCATGGCTACAGTTTGTGAATAGGAAAGGCTGTGTTGGCAACTCCAATAGGGAACACTTCTGTTGGATGTGCTGTTCTTCCCCTCAGCAGGCTATGCTTCTTTCTACTTTTTCTTTAATGGAGTGTTCCTCTCTTCCAGGCTCCAATTACTTTGTATTTTTGCTTTTTTAGAGTTTCCTGCTGAATTTCACCCTGCATTTCTCCCTCACAACATCCTGTGCTTCTCCCATTACCACTTGACTGTTTTGCTGTGCCCAAAGTTTTTGAAGCAAATCCCTGTGCATTTTCCTGTCCTCTTTCTCAATGCTTGCTTACCTCCACTCATCTGCTCTGTAATTATCATCTCCCCTAACAGCCTTTACCAGTGAAGTTGCTAAGTAAGCTTTTGCTGCCTCTATTTTTGGCCTTTCAACTTGCAATTCCTCCTCTTAACTCTTATTCTTGACTTCTTTATTGTCAGAAGAAATGGAAATTTGGTGATATCTTTAATTACAGTTTATCTAGTTTTGTTTCATGCCTTATTACAGGAGGTTTTCTGAAATGTTCTGGAAGAGAGATATACAAAATCTCAAAAGGAAATAGAAAAAAGGTAGGCCTCGGTATGCATGATTTATTATGTTAATTATTTCTCCTTTGTGCTTTTCATATGTATTTGTGTTGCAGAAAGTTGCTAATAATTTTTTATTGTTTCGTGATACTTTACATCTCCAATAGGGCAGCACCATCCTCTCCACTTTCCAGACTGCTGCGCCTGAAGCACCCTCTCACCTGGAGGTTTAAACACTTAGGAGGGGATGTAGAAGTAAAGGACTGAAGAGATGGTCACAGGGAGCCAGTACAGTTGCCTATACATGAAATCACAGTCTATTTTCTGGTAGATGTTGCATATTATTTCACTGGACATAATATTTAAGTAGCATTTTTTAATATCTGGTGATGTCTGGTAAAACAGGTTTTATAGACAAGGTGAGATGAATAGAAGTTTCTGACAGAAATACTTGTTTTCTATGTACTTCTCATCCCTAGTGTATGATTATTGAATTACTTTTATTTCAGTAATTCTTTGATTGCTTTAAAATTACACTAACATATCTTTTACTTATTGGACAAGATATGGTTTGAAACACTGGGAGGTTATTAATAATACGTAGCTTGTTAAATGATACAGATCCATTTTGGCTTCTGGCTAAAGTGAGTCTGACTTATGATGCTATTCCTAAACACACTAGCATTGAAATTCTGTCCCTTACTGGAAATAATCTCTAGGAAATATATCAGACAATTAAAACTGAAATACGTCTGAGCTATTTTTCTAATGATGCAATAATTCTGTACATTTTTATTCCTTTAGCCTGCTCTTACATTTGTACCCATTTTTCATACTGCCCTGAATATCTTTTATTAAATGCAGCAGTGGCAGTCCACTTTATATGTGTCCTTCATATTTCAGAATGCTCTGCTTTGTACTCCTCCAACCTCTGTTTTTAGGATTTAAGCCAGTTGCAGTTACAGTCAGGGACAGAAGCAGTCAATAGCAATACCTGCTGGTGGTGCGAGCCCTCAGCAAAAACAAATGCATTTTATAAAGCTCAGTTAAGAACTTAATTTCAATGTTAAAAAAAAAATTCCAATCAACCTAAAAATAAAAAAAATAAAAAAAAAAATTCAACAAACCAACACTCTTTTGTTCAGGTAAATTTTCAAATCTTACCTGAGAAGGTTAATCCTGCCAGAAATGCAGAAAGAACCTTTTTAATAAGTATTTTTTCTGCAGCCTTTTGTTTACTGTAATCCTAGAAAAGTTTCTCTGAATGTTTGACATAAATTGTAAGTGAATGGTTACACACCGTTCAGTTGCTGCACAGAACAATCTCCATATAGAATGCCAAAAAGGGTGTGTTTATAGAAATTAAGTAACAGAGGAACAAAAAATTGAGCTACCCCTGCTGTTAAATATGCTGCAGAGAACATTTATTAAAAAATCAACACTTGTCAAAAGATTACATTTCATTGTACATTATGATACAGTTCAGTGATAATAACAAAAGAGTCTCAGGAGCATGCTTTAACTGCTCTGTTTTTGTCAGATGAATCATTCTGTAAAAGTAGGAGAAATTATAAATCTGTCTAACCAGTATRTTTTGTATCTTGTAGATCAGAAAATGTTCTTTGGTTGGATGACTTCTGTGCTAAATAAGCCATAAATAACTTAGTAAAACCAGTGAGGAAGAGGAAGAAAATAATAAAGGAGGTACTTAGTATTTTTCCTTCTAATCCTGTAAGGACTGGTGCTTGTTTTGGCATCATGAAGCTGCAGTTCCCTGGAAGTAGGAAGAGTACATTTATAATCACAGACAATATTAGTGCCATGGTACATGGAGGGTGGGAGGGAGCAGAAACCACAGGATTAGGGGCATTTTRATGATTTCCATCACTCTCCAGTGATGTTACACAAACAGTTTATTCCTCATACCTGCATGTATATACATCCAAACAACCCAGTCTGGCATGCAGAACTTCAGATTTTATGCAAAGGTTTTAAAACACAGAAGTTAAATTATGTTGTTTCCAGATTTGGAAATGAAAAACAGATCATATCCTGCAAGGTTAATGAGTGTTTAAAGAACTGAACTGTTTATTTGGAGAAAATCAAGTGAATGGCCTGGAAATACCTGGGACTAGCTCACTTCCACTTGGCCATTTTCTGCTTCWTTCTGGAACAGCTGTTTCTGAATGTTTGGAGGAGTTAATGAAATTTGAAATGGGATGTTCTGGACTTGCTTCAGCAAAAGAGAATGTTGTGAATTTCATTCAGACCCTGCGAGTTGTAGCAAATATAGTTTCAACTATCCAGTTCAAGACTATATATTGGGTTTTAGCCTGCTTGTGGTATTATTCTCTGCAATTGGAGAAAATTTAAAACTCAGAGGACAATAAAAAATGTACCCATTATTACAGGACTGGAGTCCACATTTCTGCATAATTTGGGGCTACTATGTGGTAGACAGAGGAAGACCTTCTTGTAATAACCATAGTAATAATATTAATAATTACTAGTGGGGAAAAAATAGAGAAAAGTAAGAGTATAGGAGATTGCTTGACATATTAAAACACAAATCTATGAGAATATGTTATAAAATAACATATTATCTTTTATAATATATATAACATATAACTGTTACTGTGCTTTAGTTAAGTTCTGAAGAACTATCATATGTGCATAGCGACCTGCAAAATCTCTGCCTCAAAAATATATATAAAATTATAGATTTTTTTCCCCCTAAACAGAAGCAATAAGAACTGTTAATGTTTTGGCAATGCATTTTTTTTTTATAATGAACATATACTTAGAAACTACAGTTTTCTGCCTTTTTGAAATATGTAAATGACATTTGAATATTGTATAGTGTTTTTGATGGAACAGAATTTAGTTTTCTCTAATACGATTTTTTACAAACATAAACATTGTGCTTCCAGCTCAGGCTGATTAACAGTCAGCATTTTGCCTTTCTGTTGCTACGGGCACTACCCAAAAATAAAATTGATGAAAACAAGCATCATTTTGAAAAGAAAAAAATATATTTTTCTCTTTTACATATATTAACATATTTACTTACTGTAAGTTTTGCTTGTTGTCTTCTCCATAGAAGACATTGTTCTCTCCCCCCTCTCTGTGTGCATATATATATATCAAACATTTCTCTACTGTAATATTAACTTTTATAACATAAAAATAAAACAATACATCTAGAAAATAGAAAGTACTGCTCACAACTATAAATTGTCTTTCATGGCTTTCACAGCCAGCTACTTTATACTCATGTGCTGTGTAGGTGTTCCTAGCACACAGTAAAGACAAGGTAACTAATGACTGATTTAAAAACTTTCTGGTCCCATTGCAGGCATTTTTCTTTCTATTTTATGTTTTTAATTTGTATTTTAGCATAATCAGACAGTGTAAATGGTAAGAATGGCACGAAAAAAAATTGTATTTAGCTAGGGAGTTCCTTTCCCTATTTTATTAACCCCTTATTTGAATAATATACCTAGGTATGTGGTCATTACTGTTGGTTTAACAGCAGTGAAAAACATCTCTTTATCTTGAACAAGTGAAAGCAGAATAAGAGTTGGTCACCTGGAGAGGATGAAAGAACAGCCAGCTCTTACAAGTGCTGACATCTTCTGCACTCTCCCAGGAGAGCGTAACCCACCCAGGTGGGTTTACTTGAGAGGATAATTTTCTATGAAAGTACCTTCTGACATTGATCACTTACAAAAAGGCAGTTTGGGATCATTCTTGGGGGCCAGGGAGAAATGAGGAGTGGWTTTTAGCCGTGGGAGAGATGCAGTGGTCAGCTCCAAGCTCTAAGGTTGAGGCTTGTTCAGTGGCAAAGAATGGTACCGTCTCCATCAACTTACTCTGGGCAGCCTAGCAAGTCTGTGGCAGAGCCGTATGCAAAATTTCATGGGTAAGACCTTTAACACTGTGGTAAAGGTAAGGTAAGACCTTTTCTGTGTTTCCTTTATCCGTTTTCCTTATCTGTATTGCTTTTTGAAAAGGTGATAGCACAGTTTGATAGAATGCACCATATTGGTTTGCAAGCTGTTATTCAAAAGTGGGGTGTATGCTATTCAGCAGGATAGCAAGTCTTGGAAGATAAGATCACACCTCTATGTGTGATTTCAGATCCTGTGTGAATTAACAGAAAAAAAAAAGGATGAAGTACAAGCTTCATAAATTATGGTTCGTAATTA